TGTGTGTGGTGTGTGTGTGTGTGTGTGTGTGTGTGTGTGTGTTCATTGTCTTTATGAGTGTGTATATGTGCATTCCCTTCAGTTTTTCTGTATAAGGGTGTGCCTGTGTGATTTATCTCTCTTGTGTATATATAAGCATGTGTATGCATAAAGTCAAGTCTTCTTGTCAGCATCTATTTTCTTTGAATGAAGGTTGTGACACAAATGACAGGAAATGATATCTGTTGCTGGTCCTGTGGTTTAATTCAGTGACTTGATGTATGAGAATTAATGTATGAGAGTGAACAAGCCATGGACCACTAATGTTTTAAAGTTTAAACCATAGTTGGACGTTTTTGTGTAGCCATAATGATAAAATGAGGAAGAATTTTATTTCTTCTTTTTTTTTTTTTTTTACTTTTTTTTGACCTTGTAGCATTTTGCTGCTTGCAGACGTTGTCTTTTTTTCTATTCTTTTTTTTTTTCTTTTTGCTGCCGGTGCTACTCCACTTCATTTTGACTACCTTCCCCAGATTTATTTATTTGGCCTGACAGATTTACATACCAAGTGTTGCCACCTTCTGTTAAATGAAGGGTTGTTATGGCTGTGTGTCAATTCACATAAGTCTTCAGTATGTGAAGAAATCCCCCTTTTCCTTATGCGTTTTTACTTAATCGGTGTAAGTCACTAATGTTTTGACACCGGCTGCTATGCTCTTTCTGTCATAATTTTTTTTGAAGAGGGGGGAAAAACATCTGGTTCCACATGTTTTATATTTTCTCCTACAAAAGCCATAACAGTTTAATAATAAGCTCTAACACTCTGCAGCATTTCAGCCGCCATCACTTTGCTTCCACATGTTCAAAGACGATGGTTGTCGCTTACTGTTAATACCTTCCCTTTCTCTGTCCTCCTCCTCCTTCCGCCTGTCCCGTCACGTTACAGGAGCTGCTACCTCTTGTGCTGTCTTTCGAGCTCCCTGCAATCATGCAGTCTGACCCCAGCTCGCCCACTGTGCAGCACATCTCGCAGACCTACAACCTCACAGTCTCCTTCAAGCCCCCGACACGTCTCTATAGAGCCACAGGTGTTGTTCGCGGCTCACAGAATAATGCCAACGCAGTCAAGGTAAGAAGGATCTCACGGTTTAGAAGTGACTAATGGTCTGTGGCATTTGAGGGTTGTGTGAAACAGATGGTTAAGGCTTTTTGTTACTTATTAATAAGAAAATTATGGAGGGAAATGCACATTACAACTTTCCACAGAATAAAGCGATAAAAAAGTACGACATTTTAAAAGACATGAAATGCATGAAACCAGCAAATGCTTACATTTTATAGCCAGGAACCAGCAAATATTTAGCTGTTGACTCATTAGTCTGTTTTAAGCATTTCCTAATACTGCACCAGCTGTATTAATAATTTAAACTCTGTAACATCACCTTTTTACTTTGTGGCAAAATTATGGAAAGGCCAAACAGCCCTTGTGTGTCCTGTAAAATATGCTTGAACTCTGACCTCTATACTTCTTCTCAGTCATTTCAGTTCTGTAATATTTTAGTGAATCCCCAACCATTTACGTGTTGAACCACACGCCAAAAAAAGGGTTTCCTGAGCCACGCGTTAAGGCCCACCAACACTTTCGGCATGCCTCACTTTTCTCATATAAACCGCTTCATTACATTCGGCACCACAGGGGCAAGAGAGTGCTGAGAGATTTTTGGTCACTCAAACTGGACGGCTGCTAGTTTAGCTCCCCACTGCAGGGGAGACTGTATCCCACTACTGTATCAGCAAGTCCACAAGCTCCCCTCGAATGAAACTGTACTTTAAATTAGTCTCTGAGTTTCTTGCAGTTTTTTTTCTGCTGCTTGTGTATGTTCGTAATCATACTGTATGTTTCCTATATATAAACATACAGAGATGTATTTCCTCAACAGGCATCTGGCTTAGGATAGTGCCAGGGAGGTTTCTCATAAATCTCTGTCAAACAAATCATAGCCACCATTCCCCCACCCCACTACCAAGCTTTAGTTAACAACTGAAAGTTAATTTTAGTTTGCCAACAGTTGCGTTTTGCATATGTGCATTTCTGCGTTCATTTATTCATCAGTGCCAGTGCACTTTTATTTGGATTTGTATGCTCGTGTGCATTTGTGTGTTCCTATGTACAGAACATATGTTCATATGCAGAAACGTTGCCCTTGAGTTTGCGGTAGGTCTGAGGGGGTCAGTCAGGACTGGGAAGCATGCCAGATGAAAGCTGAGGGATCGAATATGTATGCTATGTTGTGTGGTGGCGTGAGACCCTTAGTGGTTTTGGCAATTCTTAAAGGTGCTCTATGGATTGTTGTCTTATGTTGGCCACAGTGTGCGGATTCCTGTAGAAGAGGGGAAATGACATACTTTACAAGGCCAAGTGATGGCTTGCAGAGACGGCAAAGAATGAGACTGTTAAGATGGCCAGCACAGTTAAAAAAAAAAAAAAGCAATAATTTTCATTGGTTATATAGAAAACACTGGTGCTTTCTGAGAATTTAAGCAGCTTTGCTTTACTGCTCTGTTACAATTACTTTGTAATCTGGCCTGGATACTGCTTAAAATGAAATGTTGTTTTAGCCTCTTGTTCACTTATCTTTTTTCTTTTCAAGACTAACAATTCATCACATCTTTACTTTATTTAATATGCACTGTTTGCATATTTTTAAAAAAATGCAAATTGCTAGCTATAGTCTTGTATTCTTGGCAAAAATATTGTTCTCTTGCAACGAGGATGCATCCAAAATGAGATGCATTATTTAATATTGCTGCCTAAAAAGTTAAATCGATGAATGGATTTGCGCTTATTTAGAAGTTATCAAAGGCCACAGTCAAACATTTATTGGTGGTTCCACATGAGAGGATTCACAGCTTCTCTAAGTGTCTTTGTATTATGGATTGAATACTAAACAGTAATTTGATAACTTGCTATCATAGACAGAATAGATTTTTTTTTTTTTTTGTAATGACTGCACTGAATATACACAAATGTTTCTGTACATAAGCTAATAGCACCAAGGCACATTCAAAATCCAAGCGGTACTTAACATCAACACATTAACACATGCTGAAGTTGGCTGCTTGGTTCATTGAGACTGTGGATGCCAACACTATGAAATGTACATTATTGAAGTATTAGTATAACCTATGAATTGCTCTGTATAATTTCACAGGTTGTCTCTGATCTAAATTTTGTGTGTGTGGTCCTCACCTTTCCTGCATGTGAAATAGGGAGGGCTGGATTGGCAACTACAAAGGAAAGTCAAGACAGCATTTTGGGTGCAATTTCAGGAGGACTCAAGTAGAAAGAGGAGCCATTCATAGGAAGACTAAGATGAAATCCATTAAAAGAGCTAAATCTCAAAGAATGATCAGATGGCTATCGTGCATAACAATTTACAGCAGGGAACATTTTGCTGCTTTTCAGTTGCCTCAGCAGTCATGCGAAGAGTTTTCACGGGACAATGTCCTGTTCAATGCTCAAAGAAATTGCAAAATACCCAAGAGCTACATCTGAGACGACGTGCCTCAGTTAGCATGTTCAGTGTTAAAGTTCTTGACAGTCCAATTAGGAAAAACGCTGAACAAGTATGGCTTATTTGGGAGGCTTGCCAAGAGAAAGCCTTTTCTCTTTAAAGAAAACATGGCAGTGCAGCTTAGGTTTGCAGCATTTTATCTGAACAAACAACAAGACTTCTGGAAGAATGTTCTTTGGACAGATGAGACGTGATCTCCAAAGTGGACATGTCTGACTAAAATGCAGAGCGCCACGTTTGATCAAAACCGGCTGGTCAACACAAACACGCCATACCGTCTGTCAAGGATTGTGGTGGAGGGGTGATGATTTGGGCTGGTTTTGCAGCTACAGGAACTGGGCACATTGCAGTCATCGAGTCAACCATGAACTCCCCTGTACAGCAGAGTATTCTAGAGTCAAATGTGAGGCCATCTGTCTGACGGCTAAAGCTTGGCTGAAATTGGGTCGTGCAACAGAGCAGTGATTCCAAGCACACCAAAAAATCTATATCAGAATGTCTGACATGTTGTGGCAGGACCTTTAGGATGGCTGTGAGTTAAAGAATATCTGCAAGCTGTGAACTGAAAAAGCACTGTAAAGAAGAGTGGGGCAAAACTCATTGTTATTGTGTAAAGCATCCTTGAGTTTCTTGAATCATGGGATTTGCTTATTTTTGTACACGACTGCAGAGAATCCTGTGAAATATTTTTTTTGGGGGGGTTTTTTTGTTTTTTTTACTTTTAAATCTAATTGGTGATTATCCTGTGAGCTAAAATATGCTAAAATATATATTTTCTTTTGTAATCCCTGTTCAGAGAGGTACAGCTCTGCTACTGGAGCACCTGGCCGGTAGCCTGGCTAGCACTATCTCAGTGACCACCCACCTGGACATCGCACCGCAGCACCACCTCTTCATGAAGGGACGCAACGGCAGCAACATCAAGCACATCACCCAAAGGACGGGAGCTCAGATCCACTTCCCTGATCCCAACAGCCCCCAGAAGAAATCCACAGTCTACATTCAGGGCACCATCGAATCTGTGTGCTTGGCACGGCAGTACCTCATGGTATTCATCTTCAGTGTGTGTTTAATTTATTGACAACTG